ATATATATATATATATAAATAGATAAATATATAACATACATATATATATATATATATATATATATATATATATATATATATATATATATACACACACAAAGGAGTTACCGGAAATTTGAAAGAAATTTGGTCAATGGAAAATTGATCAACGAAATTTTGATTGAGTGGTAGTTTGGAACGGAAATTTTGTCAAATTTTTTTCTTCCGTTCAGTCAAATTTTCATCAAATTTCTTTTTTAGCGCACTATACTATATAGTGAAACAAAATAATGGTTCAAAATTCGACCAAATGTCCGTTAGATCAAACTGTTATGTCGATCAATTTTCCGTCAATGAAATTTCTTTCAAACAAATTTCCCAATACCATTCAGAGGTGGCAAGCAGCACTTTTCCCTCGACACAGTACAATGCCTCAGGTAAAAAACAAAAAAAATCAAGACCAACTAGTAGAATAACAAAATCATTATAATTTAAAAAATGTTTATTAGATATAAATTAAGAAATAATTTTCTCTAGGTGACAAATGTATTCAAAGGGGTTAGTGATGACAATGATATGTTGCAGATTCTGTAAAATTCTGAATGGTTTCTAAAAACTCAAAATTCACTGTAGCGGAACTAGAAAACAAAATGGGTTGAAAAAAAAATCACACCGGACACACGAAATGTACACCTTTCTACACTTTAACAAGTGCTAATATTTTTCTACCACATACTCAAAATCTGTAAATGTTTCAAGCATGACAGTGTCAGCACGCCTCATTTTACTGAATGATGAGATGGCAGCATACTGTCACACTTTGTCTGGTCTAAAGTATTTGAGAGTAAAATCATGGTATAACTCAACATTTCACAAACAGTAAATTATCTCTTAAGAAGTGGTTTTAAACTTAAAATTTATGTAGAGTTCAATGAACATGCATCCCAAAAAGCGGTACAATGTTAATTTATCAGCAGTTCATGGAAGAAATTTTTATTCTGTAAAATTCTTTGTAATGATAAGTGTACTTTGTAACATAGTGGTTTCAACATAATCTGGATTTAATTTTCATAATATTGATAAAGAACATGTGAATAATCGAATTTGGGTTCAGAAATAACTACTTCAAATACACACAACCTTTAAAATTTATCTGGCCAATTATTTTTTTTACTTAAATTAGTTATCTGTTTTAGTCACTTGTAAAAATTGTGACACCATGTAAATGAAGCTGTAAATTTACAGCCACAAATATTTTATTTCTAGCTCAGCTGTACTAAGCCTTACTGAATTGAGGCTCATGAATACATGTTTTTAAAAAAAAATTTAAGCAGTTCCCTTTTGATTTCTGCTTAATTAAGAATTCTCCTGTTTTAAAAGGTTTGATCTGTGGCACTTGGGAGTGTCCAGTGCCAACTTCAACTTAAGCTAACCCAGAGCTGGTCAACAAAAGGAAGTCAACATTTTCGTAACCATGTCCCATTATAATTCCACATATGTGGGAAAAATACTCCATGTTCCAGTATGTGAAAGTCTTGGAATGTGTCATTAAGTATTTACATACATGATTTGCATAGAGCTATAGTGACTAGAGAAAAAAAATTCAGGGAAAAAAAGCGATGAAGAAAAAAAAATAAAAGAGAATGTCATTTCAGTATTACAATGGTGGAGCTATTATTTTACATCATTGTTGCCATTAAAACTCCAGAATTAAACACATACATTTAAAAAACAAGACACTTGCAACTCTTTAAATTTAAAAAAAATTTAAGTAATTTTGTTTTAAAATGTAAGGACATTATGATACTGATTGACCTACGAGTGAGGTAGAAATGATCAGAATGATAATATGAACAGGACGTTTTCCCTAAAGGTGGGAAATGAAAGATAACTGAACAAGAATTATGCGAAAGTTTAGAGCTGTAGCGACTGAAACAGTTAACAAGGGGTTTTGATAAGAAACCCAAGAAGTTTTGTGGTGTATTTTCTAATTCCAACTCAAAAGAACTAAACAGAAATATGCAGGTGGAAAAATTTAAAAAAACAAATCTGACAATTTTTTGAGCTGATTGTAAATGCAGCATTACGACGGGAACACATTTGTGATTGTATTTTGATCAGATTCGAAGGCAGGACCCTGAACACAAATAGCGCCACTTGATTTTGAAAAACTGCAGTTTGCGTTAGATGCGCTGGTGGATGGACGGACACAATGTTGGACCTGATTGTTGTTATCTTTATAATTTTTTAAAAAAAAATTAAATGTTCAACATTAGTGCAACAAAGTATTTTCCTTCATGAAGTATTTTTGGTTCAAGTTTTGTTTTTTTCTCTCTTGAATTCAAATTTTAATCCGTGCAAGAAGTACAATATTTTTAATGTAGTTATTTTTAAAACTACAAGAACCCTGAATTTGCAAGACAAAGCAAAAAACCTGTCTTTCAAAGTTTCAAGATCAAAATGATGAATTTCTATGATCTTGTCTAAACTGGGTTCAAAGTAAATCTCAGACGGAAAAAAATATATTTAGAAAATGCCTAAATGTGGGGAGAAAAAAAAACACATAAATATTCTATATACATACATACATTGTAGTCATCTACATCAGGTTTGGTTTAAGTTAAACATGGAAGATCATAAGTTTCACAACCATTTTTAGTCTAGTGCTGAAGTTTCAATAAAAATAATGGCCTCGTAAGTAAAAATGTCATTAAAATGTGACTGACCTAAATGGTTATTGTCATCAAGAAATGAGAATCTTATTATAAAGATAAAATTGCCACAATGAGCTTAAGAGAGTTATCAAATTAAAGTCATTTAAATATTCTTCTTCTTGTGGGTGAAAAAAAAAGATGCATATTTTCCATACATTTTATTCTGAAACAACTTTTGTGGCAGAAAAGTGCATCTAATTTTTTTTTATAATTCATGGAAATATCCTGAAACAATCCATGAAAGTATGACAAATGCAATAATTAAGAATGTTCTCATTTCCTGATGTCACAACACAAACAAATGTATCATGTTCAGAATGTCCTAAAACTTGACAACTGCAACTTCATGGGTTAACAGGAAACACATTTTACACAATTTCAAATAACTATTTGCCACTCATGTGTCAATGAGTGGTAAGAAAAAAAAAAAAATGTATAACATTTAAATGTGGTTTGTTGAATAATGAAGGCAGACGTGGATTTATCAGAAACCTCAGCAGTGTCCAAATAATTGTCAAGGCAAGTAAAAGAAAAACTAGCTTTAAAAATCCTAGCTGAAGACTGGCACCTCATTTGTTCATGAACTCAATCATTCACTTGGTCCCCCAGACTTTCAGCAAAGTGAAGACCCTTTAATATATATCCTCGGCTGAAAGTCCCACTCACAAACATACAACATACTTCAAGAAACCTCCACCACAAGTTTTTAAAAACAATAAGAAACTAATTTTAAAAAAAAACCAACTTACAGTATCACAGGGCAAAGTTTGTAAGTCATATTGTCATTCAATGTCAATGTAAGGAGAAAAGACATTTTTATTGATCAGAACAGTAGTTTTTGAATCTGGAAGTTGAAAAATGAAGATGAAAAAGAATACAAATATCAATGACTGCAACTAAGAAATTACCTTTAACGTTTTTTAAAAATCCAAAATTATATGGATTAAAGATGGAGTTAATTTAACCGCTTTTGCGTGAAAAAGAAATTAAAACTACTTCATCGGGAATTTCAAATAAAACAACACGGTAAAGAATGAATAAGCCTTGATGAAATTTCCACCTTTCCAGAACAAATCAAGTTTTATGGGTAGGGCTGTTGACACAGCCACTTGAAAATATGAACATAAAGTAGAGTTTACATCAATCATTTCAACCACAAAAAAAAAAACAGTGTTCATTTGTCGACAGGCACAACAGTTGGGTGCATCTGGAGTACTAGTCCCCAGACAAACTTGTTTTCAAAACATGTTGGCCGTAAGTTTATGAGAAAATGGCACCAAGAGTTTGACGAAAACACCAAGTAACAATTGATTAGCTTATTCAAGGCACATGTTACAAATTCAGCATTTCGGCTGTAGGTTGCTGCTTTATTTAAAAGCTCTGTTGGTAGGAAGCTGTACAAAATTTCAGCTCCAGGAGATAGAGATAAGATATATCTTTGAATAACATTCTGGGATGCTTTCCAATAACATGTACACTAACACTTTTAAAAATTCCTTACATTAACATACTACTGTGTATAATTCATTTCTTTAAAAAAAACTAACAAAGTACTATGTAAACATATTTCAACATAATTTACACATTACAACATACTGTTTAAAAGCTGCCATAGCCTACTGCCATTTGGTTTTAAATTTTAAAAATGCATATCATCTCTTATAAAAATTGTATTAGCTTTCCCCCTTCTTTATAAACAACAGGAGTCTGTTGCAAATACACCATCTGAACATTTTTAGTATTCTTTGGTCTCCAATATAATTTAAAATAAATCAGGAGGGCTGAAGATGGCAAGAAGAAATCCTGCCACATCAAATGACATCTTATTGCCAGTCAAGCGGCTCCTCTTCCCTGGTGGTTTATTGCATCCTGCTCTCGTCTCACCCTTGTGTACGTCACAGCATCAAGACATCTCCTCTTTTTTGTAGAAAACAAGGCAGTGGTGAAAACAATATCAGAAATTACTTGCTCCCATCATTTATATAGGTTGGATTACCTATTTGTAAGAAAGACAGCATATCATGACTAAGTGGGTCATTTAAAACCACAAATGATATCTCACTGTATCTTTAAACTATTTAATTGCAATTACATATTTTGATAAAACAAACCCACAACTGTGATATACTGTGCAGCCCGTCACTTGACGCAGCCCATCACTTGATGTAGCTTTAAGTTAAAGCTTAACGGTAACTTCACATAAAAATTCTAACCTATTCGTGCCTAGTTTGCTGCCATTTAAAGTGGTAGAGTTGTTGCGAGTGTTGGTGAAACACTGGGTAAACAAGGGGTGCAGGAGCAGGTCCTTCGCCGATGGTCTGTCATCAGAGTTTTGCTCCAGGCACCTCAGCATCAGATCTCTCACAGGTGGTGGGAGATTTTCTGGGATGGGTGGGGAGTCAACAGAGGAGGCGATCTGATGAAATAATTGAACATACAGCACACTTCAGTGTACATAATATAAATGAAGATACAATAACTAAAGGAAGTTAAGATTATGTATTGCAATTTCTCCAGTTAGTCATTATCTCAACCTCTCTTTTTTTGTTTAGTTTTTTTGGGTGGTGCGGAGGGGGTGTTGTGTGGGTGGGGCCTATTTTCATCACATAGTTCCTATTATTATTAAACACAAAAATAATGTTGCATTACTTTTTGAAATGTGGTCTGCTTCAATTGAACAATGGGTGGTGAGAAGATATTTGAAAGCAAACAACTTTAATCATCTGTGAATGGTATATTGAAATGATACTGAGTTCACTAAGAGGGAATTAAAAGCAATGTGGTTTTCTTAATTTAGCAGCTGCTATCCAGTCCTGAATTATGACCATACCTTGAAAATGAGTGCCAAATGATTTGAGATATCCGTAGCATTCCAGGGTGGTTTCGTTGTTGCCATTTCAATCATAACACAACCAACACTCCAGATATCACAGGCTCGCCCATAGCTTTCACCTCGCAAAACCTGACACAGAAGGAAAATAATCAAATTAGTAATCACTTGACAGGTTTTATAAAAATGATAAAGCTTACACATTCCTGTAAGAACTATAAAAAAAAAAAGACTAATAATCTTCACATAAATAAAAACTTGCAGTAACATGCCCTCCCCATCAATAGGACTGTTTTTTTTAAAACTTAATCTCTCAAAAGATTATTTGGATAATCAATATTTTGAAAAATTATTCTGTTTTAGCATCTCTGCTTTTTAGCAGCTAGCTTAATAAAAAAGATACAAATTTCACAATGTACAACAATTTAAACATTTATTAATGCAGACCTGTTTACTCTTACGATTTTGGCGGACAATGTACGATTTTGAGGTGTATACATTATATATACAGCACGTTTTTGCTCTATAAAGAGAATGTATTGAACGATTTTATGATGATATTGTACGATTTTAAGATTTGAGAGTAAACAGGTCTGTTAATGTCATCTACCTCTGGTGCCATAAAAGCAATGGTCCCTAGCAGTTGACCTTGAAATTCTCCAGCTCCTGTGGCCTGAGAGGCCAATCTGGCAGATGCTCCGAAATCTCCAATACGAAGTGTTTGGCCTGTGCTGTCTATGAGGAGATTGGCTCCTATCAAGATGAAAAACAGACATGATTATTTCCTGGAATTAACCCCAGTTCTTAAATTAAATGTGATCCAAAAAGTTCTAACAGAAAAGGAAATTTATTAAGAAAACATTATTTTGGCATTTCAAAATTTAGGAAATTTTATAGTAATGGATGAATTCTCAAAGTAATGTCCTCCTTTATTTAAAAGTGAACAGGAAAATCAATTATTATTCCATGAATGAAAGCAAAATTAATGACAGAAGTTAATTGAAGATTTACAATTAATTATTTAAGTATTTAATTTAATATTACTCTGCAGTTTTTATAGAAAGCATAAAGTAGTTGTTCATGGCTTGTGACACAACTGAAAACAACATTTAATGGGGCGAGAAAAACAAATAAACCAACAAAATTATTAAAAATCATCAAATGTAAAGAAAAATTAATGCATGGAACTCAAATTCAAAGAGAAGATACAAAAGGAATAACAACTCAGCATTACCATAAATCTTCATCTGCTATAGGTTTGTCAATATCATTCATGAGGGTGGATGGAAAAAATGAAATTGTGAGGAATATAAGCAAAATTTTAAGTGTAAGAGAAAGAAATAAAGGTTTTAAAAAAAAATGTTTATCACGTTTCATAATAAGTAAAGACTGTTCAAGATATTTGACATCAATTCAAATGGATGCAATTCGAGAAAAATCATAGGCCAAGAAAAATTATTCAAATATATAGGCCAAAAACCTTTCTATCTTTGATTAGCCTTTCAGTCAAAAACTAAAGGATCCAATGAGCATCCAAAAATTCTGAAAATTATTTAGTGATCAAACAAGGTTGTTTAACATTAGAAAATGTAACTGGATGTTGAGGGCATAACTTTGGTATTTATTTATGTTAAGGGCATAACTTTGATTTAGAAAAAAAACAAAGACATGAAGCGTGAAAGTGGCCGAGCTATAATATAAACAGCTGATGGTAACAAGATGCTCTGCTCACCTTTAAGATCCCTGTGTAGAATGTGGTTGTCGTGCAAGTAAGCCAGGCCCCTTAGGATTTGTCTGGTGTAACTGACAATGACATTTTCTGTAAATACTCCGTATTCACCAAGCAAATAAGCCACAGAGCCACCTGTTGTTTTTTTTTAAAAATTGAGAAATTTAAATTTTCAAAGTGAGCACAAATGCTACATTGTCATTTCAAATATAAACAGTTATTTAAAAAAAAAAAAAAATTCAGTCTTCACAAAGCTTTTAAGACTAATTTATTTTGATATTAATGACTAAATTCTTACCTGGCATCCATTCTACAAACATATTAAAGTGACAGCCTTGCTTGGTGGCCCCCAGGATTCGAACAATGTTTGGGTGACTGAGTCTTGCCATCATGTGGATTTCTTCACTGATTGCCTCTATCACTTTCTCCTGCTCTTGTGCAGAATTGCGACAGAAAGAAATCTGTGAAGATAATCAAGCAAACCGATAATTTTTATAAAAAAATACAACTATTACATCTTTGTAATAAAATTTGTGTGAATTGATGTGTGAAAATGAGGTGAGCCCTGTTAGGAGAAAGCATTTTTGTGTACTGTGTGTTTCGTTACAAAGCAGTAGCGCCCTAACCTGCTTGACAGCCATAATGACTCCAGTCCTGACATCTCTTGCCTGATAGCATGAGCTGTAGGCACCTGTGCCCAGTAGTGGACCTTTGACCCAGTGGACTTTCTCCAAGTACATGGTTGGTTGCCGCATCTCTCCATCTTTCTCATCACATTCCTGTAAAGTTCAATAAATTAAATATATGTTTTTAACAAACTATTATGCAAATTAAAATTTAAAAAATGTATTCATTATTTTGATTTATATAAACTGAAAAAAAGTAAAAATGTAGGCACTGTATTTTACAGTGACCCCTAACTACAAACTGTTATGTACAAATAAATGAACCCACTGCACAGCACATGAACAAAGAAATCAGTGAATTTTATGAATCATCCGTTTCAGCTTACATTATCTGGTTGTATCCTGATTGTGATCACTTCCTCCCTAGCAGTTGGGGTCAGGCCAGGCACCACTGGGCAGGGATCCTGCCTCTCTGAGACATCCAGCGCTTTGGCCAGTGCCTCGGCCTCCTCCCTTTCCACCTCCTCCTTGCATGTCGTCCCACACTCTGTACTTTTTGAACCTGCTTCAGGGAAAGAGTTTTATTAGCTTAAAACAATTTATTTCCTTCTCAGTGGTATCTTTTAGAGATTTAAAAAAAAATTTGACAAAAACATATTCTAAAAAGTATTACGCTGCTCATACAATTTCTATTATTCCAATACAGGACGTATCATATTATGATATAAGGCAAATTTCTAAAATAATTGAAATTCTTAAAACAATGTCTATTTCTGTTCTTGAAGCAGAATTATATTTCATACTTAAATAGGAGTGAAAATAATGGTCAACAATAAATACTTTGTCCTCTGTTGAAAGACCCATTACCAATAAAAGCTGCCCAACATAACTTCCTTTCCACTACTGAGAATACAAGGCGGCTAGAGCTATTCACTGTTGTTCTCAAATGCACCTATGCATTCAAGATGTGGAGTTTCAATACTGCTAGTTTTGGAGCATTGGGAAATAACTGATTCAGAGAAAACCAGACAGCAATGTAACTTCTTTTTATTAATTTTTTTTCTTCAAAAAAAAAAAAAAGGTATGAACATGATATTAAAATAACTTACCGCTGTGAACAGAATGACTGGGTGAAGATTTGGGAGATTCAGCCACTTCAGATTTAAAAGAAACAGGCTTTTCATTGCTAGAGGGAGTGGCCTGAGAAAAGTCCAAGAAATCATCACTGCTCATAGACTCATGCTCAGCTGTGTGGTACAGACTATCAGGACTGTTGGGGACCCCTGCAGCACCTGACTTGGGTGAAGATGTATCCATTGTGCCACCACTGTTAGATTCATGACAGTGGCACTGACAGCAACAGGATGAGGCAGGGTTGCCCTCTGCTGTTGACTGGCTGGCTGGTTCTTCACTGGTGCAAAATGTTACGTGGTCTGAGACGTGAGATGACGTGGAAGCTTTGAGGTTCTCATACAAGTTCAAAGTTTTGCTGTTGCCATTGTCAGTTTCCTCATTTGAATCCTTGCCGTTTTCATCGAGATCGGAGAGCGCAACAGGGCTGAAATTGCCTGTCCCCTCTGCCGTGGTGTCAGTCACTGAAATTATGGGCACTACTGGGTTCAACACAATGGGAGGAGTTCTGGTGCTTGTTCGAGATGCAGGAGGTGGCGCAGACTGAGACGAAACAGAACTGGAATTATACGAACATCCTTCAACTGTTCTTCTTCGGATGGTCGGACTGGATGAACCACCACGTTTGTTTTTTGAGACAGTCTCCCCTTCAATCGTCTTTCTCCGCAATGGTAAATTAGATTTTCTCCTGTTTGGGGGACTCGAGCTACCTAAACGCCCCACACCAGAGGCATGCCCATCTCCTGATAAAATAGTTGGTAAGGCCGATATGTTTTCTCCTCGAAAGTGATCGCTAGCCACTTTCTCTGGGGAGTTCTCAGAAGTAGGTGGTGGAGCAGGAGGGTGGTTTGTTTCACGAAAACTTCTACGAGGTATGGCTCTTCTGAGCTTTCTTTTAGAACGTTGAATGGGCGTGTTAGGTGGTACCAGAGGGACAGGTGCCATCACAGGTAATGAGTCAGTATCACAGCTTGCTTCATTGGGTGCCACTGGTGAGTTACACCTTGGTGTCGAGGAGGGAGAGTCCACAGGGGTGTGGCATGGTGAATCTAGTTTACCTCTTTTTCCAGACCCATGCATGAGTTCATGAACAATCCTCTCTGAAAGCTGAAAGTCCTCAACAATCCTATCCAACTTGCGCCGAAGCGAGGCCACCGAGGTGGAGTCAATTTGAGCGAGGAGGCTTTTCAGTTCAGTGATGACTTTTTGAACATGTGCACCCAGTTTGGCGGACAGAAGGAACACTCTTCTTGACATGCGGGCAATCCTCATGTGGGTGCTACAAACAGCCTTGACAGAGAAGTGAGCTACAGACATTAGCCTTTCATAATTTGAGGCACCGATTTCATCAGAGTCCTCCAGTCTTCTTCTCTCTGTTGGTCCTGCTGCTGCTCCATCCATATCTGCCTCATCATCTGTGGGGGAAAGTAATTCCATTCTTGAACTTTAATACTCAATTAATTTGTCATATTCATAACATAAACTAAACATTTCTTTGTCCCGATTGCTGAATTAGAAGCAAAAATGCTTCATTAAATTACATTACAACTAAATTCATTCTGAACTAAATTTTTATCTTGAAACCTACTTCAAATTCAGTTGATTTCTTCACATATTTTTTTCTAGTAAACAGATATTTCAATAAAAATTAATTTAAGAAAGCACAATGATGTGATGAAAATTGAGGCCATGCAGATTTCATAAGTGAATGATTTTTCCTCACCGGCTTCAGCAGCTCCCGCAGCATCCAACCTTTCATCTAGCCGAGGTACAAACTCACTGGGGAACTCTTCCAACAACCTGTCTATGACATAAAGCCTCCCCAACAGCCACTGCCAAGGTACTGTCTCATTGTCATAGTCTTCAGTGACACACTTCAAAACATAATTCAGACCATCTAGACCTTCAGTGCCTGGAAGACATGACAAGAAAATATTTTTTTAATTCAACACAATGCACAAAATATATCTGAAAGATTTCTGTCCAAGAGAAGGAGACAATGTAAGTCAAAAGTCATCAACAGATTTTAGTCTCAAATCATGATAAACTAGAGAAAATGTTTTACCCATTGAAAATGATATTTGGAAAACAAACCTGGATTAATAATCTCCCTGCCAACAGCAAGTTCCCCATCTTGACCCTTCACAAGCTCGACCAAAGTAGAAAGAGAGAGTTGACTCGTCCGTCTATAATGTAAAAAAAAAAGTTTTCACAAATTTAGAACCTTATACAAATTTATAACTTAAAAAAAAATCCTGGATGTTGTAATTTGATCAGGTCTATAAATAACTTAAGGGCTAATATGGGGTTAAAAATAACTTAGTGCAAATATGTACTAAAATAACGTACCTGTTCCCATCAGTACATTTTAATATTATTGCTTCCACAATAGGCTTCAGGACAGTCTGCAACCTGTTTCTCTGATCAGTGTCTCGACATGGAGTATAAGACAACATGGTGCGAATGGCCCTCTGAAAAAAAAAAAAGGCAAATGAAATGTAATGGTTGTGATGAAAACAAAATAAACTGTGACAAGCCCATTCAAAAAAAGAAAAAAAAAAAAAAAAACAAAAAACTTATTTTTAATTTTAAAATAAGAAAGAAAAAAATATTAATTTTTTATGTTTATGCATACCGGTAGCTAAAGCTTAAGCTAATGTAGTTATTATACCATCTTCTTTGCTTGTCATTTTTAATTCAGAATGAGCATCATGCCCAAACTAAAATAATCATTTAATTTATTGTATGTGATTAAGCTGTAAAGCAGCATTCATATCACAGAAGAGGGTTTCATGTCTTAAGCAGTGGGGGACGAAAGGCTCAGAAATTTGTTTTAAATATTCAGGAGAAACAATCTCACATGAATGAAATCTGAAGTACATTTTTTTCTATTTTTAAAACACCTACCAGTGATGCTACAAAGACCCTGTAGACAGGGTCAGCACAGGTGTAGGCCAGAATGTTGCAGGCTGTCTGAAGCATATTGTGGGTCGCAGCCCGTCTCACAGGTGACACTATCACTCCAGACCGCCCCTCCCCTGCTCCTTTCAGCAGGGTGGCCACGACCTCTTTGCTGAGGTGCTTCAGCCCAACTTCTCTGATTGACCAATTGCGAGACAGAAGACAGCAAACCAGGTCCGATCCCAATGCCTAGATGAAAAATATTTATCAACAGGTGCGACTTGTCAACGTGCAGCCCTAAAAATAATTTAACCCAGCATCAGCTATAAACATACTAAACTATTTTAACTATTAAAATGTGTATCAGCAAAAAAAATGTAGATCAAAGTGAAATTCAGCAAAAGAGACAAAGGGATCTAAAACTTGAAACAGACTTAAAATTGATGTCAGTGAAACTTTAAAATAAAGTATTTTTAAAAATATAACTGAACAACAAAAATCTAAAAATCATAACACATTTACAATACAAACAGACGGATGTGTAGTTGACATACCTCAACCCAAGGGGCTGCCGTCAGTTCCATGTCAGTTGGAATAGGTTCTGCATGAGGTAGCCTAGAGCTGTCTTCTTCGGAGACTGTATGTTGTGGAGATGACGATCTATTGCTGGATGAAATATCTGGACCATCTGTATTGCTGCCATTTTGAGTGCTGAAAAAATAATACATCTTTTATAATGTATATTTTAAACAAAATTTAAAAGTCAATTTTATTTTATATTAAAAACAAAATGATTGCGCAGAGCTGCGCAGGATAAGTCACATCAGGCCCTTCCTAACAATTGATGCAACAAAGAGGTTGATGTCTGCATTTGTTCTATCACGCATGGACTATTGCAATGCTCTCATGGTGGGTCTTCCAGCTACGCTCCTGGATAAAATTCAAATAGCACAGAATAATGCGGGTCGTATTGTTCTCCGCAAAAGCAAGTTCGACCATGCAAAAACACTTCTGAGAGACCTGCACTGGCTGCCGGTCCGTGCTCGCATAGAATACAAAATCGCAACGTTGTGCTACCGCTGTTTATATGGCCTGGCGCCGTCCTATCTGAAAGAGCTGCTGACACCTTATGTACCCACTAGACAACTCCGCTCATCCGACAGTGGCAAACTCTTGACACCACGTGTTCGCCTTGAGACTTGCGGAAAGCGCACTTTCGCATTTGCTGGTGCAGCAATTTGGAACGCCCTTCCAGTCGATCTCAGAAACAATCAGACACTGGACTCCTTTAAAACCGATTTAAAGACACAGTTATTTCGCAAACACCTTCTGGGATGATTGTCTACCATATTTTCCATTTAATGCATATTAGCTTGTTGCTCAGGGTTGAAATGGGTAGAAAGACTTTGACATTGTATGCTTGTAATTAGTTTTTGTAGTGTTGCGTTTGTTTTAAATGTGGTAAATTATAGATTTTTTAATTTATTTTTTTACTTTTGTACCGCGCTTCAAGCCTTTGGGGATGAAGCGTGTTTTTGAAATACACTTTATTATTATTATTTATTATAATTATCAGAATTTTATTGTATGCACACTACCAAACTTTAAATAAACATGCTGGGAAGTAAATGAGTGCTCAGTTTATAATATTGAACATAGAAGGAAGTTGGTATCATCAGCACTTGTAAAAAAGAATAGTTATAATTAAAGCTTTTAATTTATTTCCTGGAATAAATTTAATTACACCCACCCTTTGTTTTATCCCAGAATGATATTTTAAATTCAAGATAAGATAACAGTTAAGTGTTACAGTTAAAATTTAGCCCCAAATTTTTAATAGTGATAATGTGGAAAAATATCTTACCTTTTTATTTCAACAGTTGCTGACTTCCACTGAGCCCGACATAGTGGACAGTTAAGTGGATCATTTTGTCTTCTGCATTCTTCAAACCCTGGATGATAAAATGGATTTTTTTTAAAAAGTTAACTAAAACACCCAGAGACCTTTTTAGTGAGATAGTTAACCAAAATTAAGTGCATTCAAAACAGAAAGAAAAAAAAAAGAATGATGCTCACAGATTGCAATACAATGATGATGAAGGCGATTATGGCACCCATTTTCACAACATATTAAACTCTCTCCCTCCAGCATCTCCAAAAGACAAATGGGACAGGTCTCTTCTTCTTCTCTGACACTCCTGAAGTTAGAATTTAACAATTGGTTTGCAATGTACATGTTGATTGTGATGGAAGTGAGTGCTACCTGCATTAAATTTTACAACTTGATGACTTTAATAACATCATTTCACCCTTTATCTCCCAGTTAAAGACTGTTCAATAACATCATTTCACCCTTTATCTCCCAGTTAAAGACTGTTCAATACTACATTTCACCTTTTATCTCCCAGTTAAAGACTGTTTAATAACATCATTTCACCTTTTATCTCCCAGTTAAAGACTGTTCAATACTACATTTCACCTTTTATCTCCCAGTTAAAGACTGTTCAATACTACATTTCACCTTTTATCTCCCAGTTAAAGACTGTTCAATAACATCATTTCACCTTTTTATCTCCCAGTTAAAGACTGTTCAATAACATCATTTCACCCTTTATCTTCCCATTGCTAACCCTTTCAGCAACTCAATATTACCCTGTGTCACTCTCAGATGGTAATCTGTTGTTATCCTGGGCATCCACAGCTCTCCCCTCATCTCCATCACCCCCTTCCTCCTGCTTCACCACCTCTTTTCTACGTTGTGAAGCTCGACGCTTGGTAATGCGCGAACTTCTTTTGTCATGGAAAATACGAAATAAACTTTCAACCTGTGAAAAAGAAGTTACCATAACAGATCAAATAGATACATAAGCAAGGCCAAAACTTTTTAAAGGTTCAAGAGGTTGATTTTTTTAAAATAATTTTTTTTTGAAAAATTATTTATACACAACAAACTTTGTTTTCTCTTTGACTTTGGGATTTATATTCTATAAGACGGTTTCATTGAAACTTTTCCATTCACAAACAGTTAAAACTAGCATATTGTGTAAAACCATTGTATCCTATATAAATCAGTAACTCTGTATAATAATTATATGAGTTAATTTTTTGCATACAATAAATGTTTTATTTTAATGCATTTTTAAAAACTTCCTCATAAAACAGTAAGCAGATCATTTCTGAAATGAAAGAACACTTTGAATAAAACTTGAAACCCAGCAACTCACTTCATAATTTTTTAAGGTCCTGCTCCACAGACAGGGGTCCATCTCCCCCACTTGGAAGACTCGCAACATCACAAAAAGCACATGGACACAGTGTGGACCTCTGCCACAGCTACAAGTCTGCAGTGCCAACAAAAATCAAATTTAGTAATGAGATCAAAATGAAGAATGCTGATTCACTAAATGATTCTAGGGGCATAATGCAAATAATAATTAACTTGAAGTGTGAGATTTTAAAGCACTATTATGGATAGGATCAGATATCAAATGGTAAATGCAGAAATTAAAAATGGAAAAACACATCACAGTCCTTTAAAAAACAAAAAAATATAAAAAAATACATGTTATTGATAATGTGCTACACACCTGAGGTCCAATAATAACTCTGTACTTGTGATCTGGAGAGTCACCTCCTATGAGGAAAGAATTGGGTCCTGTCTGTTGAAGCAAATACAGCCTTGCTCTTTGTACACGCTCAATGCGCTTTTTTGTTATATCAATGTTGGTCGAAACATCAGTGAGCGGAAGTTGTTGAACTGGATTTCTCCGACCGGGATGGGCACTTGTATTCGAGATTGCTTGTCGAAACTGGAAATAAAATATGAGTTTTTTAAAAAAGACAACACATCTGCTATTTTTACCCACAAAAAAATAAGGTAAACATTGATTTAAGAAGATTGGAAATAGGATTTGTAAAAACATTTTTTTTTAAAATGTTTGAACAAATCCTTAATATTTATATATGCTTTAACAATTAAAGAATAAGAATAACAAAATATATGTCATTATGCAATAAGTTGCTTGCAGAATTATTATTTTTGAATACTTAACCCTTAAAAAGAGCACAGATAAACAGAGCATATGTAAAAAATTTGAAATACTGAAGTTGAAGGAACGTAACTTACTGAGTTAGATGGTGAGAGTTTCTTTCGGGCAGCAGAGTTGGTCTGACTCGTGTTGACCACTTGTCGTGTAAACGCAGACTCTGTGTGCCCGTGTAAACTCCCACGCCGCCTGACAGTCACAGGAATCTGCAGTGGAAAGAAACAAGATGAAGATTGTTTTAATTCATCAAATGACAAGAATTACAAGATATTATTACATTATTTAAAGCCAAATTACCTATAAGAAATCTATTCAACCCTAAAAATTAATGTCACATAGTTCCAATTTACATTTTTAATAGAAATTTTAGACATGATGCTCTACACGACCACCAAACAGTAATTTTATTATAGTGCCACAATCACTAACAGCAGCAAATTTTTTATTAAATTGTAATATTCTAAAATAAAACTGAATAATGACTGCCTCCATGACATTAACTACCAGGATTTATGCATCAGTTAAATTGGAAATTATAAATAGATCAATTAAAAAATTATAGAACAATATTAAATTCATTTAATGCAGATATTGAATAAAACTTTAAGATTTAATAGTCTTTCAAAAATCAATACAGAATGCAAAATGTAAAATATTTATTTTAAATAATTACATTAATTTGCATTATATATATATATAAATACATACATATATCTATATATGTGTGTGTATATATATATCTATATATGTGTATATATATGCATATATATATATATATCTATATATGTATATATATATATCTACATCTATATATACACACATATATACACAAACACAAAAAAAACACATACCTGTGATGTTTGAGCAGCTAAAGTATTGATAGGTTGCTTGTACATCTAAAATGCATAGAACAATTGAAATCGAAATAAATGTTTTCATTGTTAATTACTAAAAACTAGTGAATTTCAAAATTAAAAAAGATAGAAGATCCACATTTAATGTTGCTACTTCTGATATTAATTTGGCAATTTGGTGCCCTAGCTAAGCCTCTTTGACAATCACTAACATTTCTTTATACTTATATATATATATATATATTTGAATTTAAGTTATTTACTTTTGAAAGTATGTGTCATATGCTCATCATCACTTGATGTTATAAAGAAACTAGAATGCTCTTCTACAAGACATAAATATTTTTTCAATCAATGTTGAAATAATTATGATTTGAGTGACATATTATTGAACAAACTCAAGCTCACAGTTTTCATAAAACAAAATTGTTAGCACAATAAACCAATATAATCTCATGAACATTAGATTCTTTTTCTAAAAACATAATGAAATCTAGAAAAGAAATGAATGGAATCTTAATATAGTTCAACATTTCTTTACCCACTTTTCGATAGTTGGACTTTTCTATGAACTCCTTCCTCCATGGAGGAATAGAAGCTGGAGTATCCTGTTCTCCCAGTATTGAACAAAGATCTGCTGATTCTTGCTCAGATCCTTGTTCATATTTGTGCATGGCTAGATTAACTCTGTTTCTGTTGGCAGAGAAAAGAAAGTCATTTGAAATTTAGCAAGGATTAACATTTTGAGAAAAGTTTGCATGGCCTGAATTTTTCCCATTGGTGGCACTTATAAATAATATGTACTATTTTTAGTGCAACTTGATACGTTTTGAGATTCCCACACTTTTTTAATATCTAAAATTGTGTATCATCAATATCATAACATACAAGGAGTCTCTTTTTAAAAAAAATTACAAATATGCCAATAAATAATTTCAAAATGACTCTAATTAATAATACCCTTTAATTTTACTTCTTATATCTATGTTCCAGGCAAAACTGAAATGTAAAGATAATTACTCTAGCTCCCTAGTACGCATAGAATTTCAACAATAAGACATAACCATATTAATCAGCACTTTTAAAAATGTTGAGCTAAGTTTTTATCTATATCAAAATTAGCCCAGCTGCTACTTAAGCCTAATTTTGATAACCAAAATATAAATTTATGGCATTTTAATTTTTAAAATAGTACCTTGTTTAATACTAAGCTGGTCATTGGCCATCCCTGGCTCTGGGGTTGCAGCTCTTTAAAGGGATAGATACAACTCCTAAGCTAGCTAATATTTTTTAAGTGTGATAAGGTTTACATACAATATTTAGCCTAACTACATTTCATGACAATGACATATCAATAGGAGAGTGATCTTTTTTATTCTTAAATGTCCAGCTACTGGACCACTGAGGTCCCCTGACTCAACTGACAGGTCCAGACAAAATTCGGTCAATTTACTAAATCTGTGCCACATAGAGTTTCTGTGTAGGATTCTCTCCCCTTTGTTAATTTGTGGAGAGTTAGCTTTTCTTTAAGCAGGAGATAATAGGTTTGAAGATTTACGTTTAAGCTAGGGGTGAACTATATTTAAGGGAGAACTATATTTAAGGAGGAATTTATACTTGAAATAGGTAAACTAATCTAGCATTCAGGTTAGGCAGATTTGTATATTTTTTTAAGATAGACAATTTTCCTGAAAAAATTATTTATTAATAATTTAACATTTTGTACCTGATTTTCATTTGCCTCAATAAGTATTTTAAGCAGCATATTCTCTCCCTTGCCCCTCCCCCTTTTTGGCATAGATGTTTTTGCGCTATCTTTTTCTTAGACAGCCACTTCCTTTGTTGTCGTAAAAAGTCTACCATCATGATCATGGCAACAAAGATGGTGGCCGTGGTAAAAAAAAAATGAGTGGAAAAACCTGGGGAAATGGGTGGCACCGAATGTGTAAATTTACCCGAAATTCATTTGATAATTTAGTAATGACAAACTGATTACTGATACTATTGACACTTGATACTGATAGTCATGAATGACATTAATCATTAATGAAAATATAGGTCTAATTAGATGAGGTTTAGACCTTTTTGCATATAAATGCGCATGTTATTCAAGATTCAAGTACTTTGTTATTATTATTGTTACTGTACAGTAGGCCTACAGTGTTGACATTTGAATTTGAGTCTGTTCCACTGTTCCTCTTCATAAAAATTATAAATCATAACCTACCGATTTCTTTAAAAGATAAAAATTAAATGACTATGACTTACATCTCATCTTCATTATTCATTTCAAAAGCATTGTCGAAATGTTCAGTAGTGTAAGTTGTGGTACCATGTTCGTTGAAAACAGACTCTTCTTGTGACTGTTGGGATTTCTTTGCTCTTTTGGTGGAGGGAACATGTCGAAGAATTTTTCTCCATTTGTGGGGACCTTGGAATGTCTCTTCATATGTGGCTCCTTTATTGCATCCCTCGCAAGTAATTGACGGAGACGGTTCTAAATTAACAGTGTAGCTCTCTACCTTGATATATTCATATTCAACCGATGCAGTTGAAGTGGATACAGCAGAGGATTCCACCGTAGGTCCCACAGTGCAGAGGGAAGCCATCTTTGATGCAGAAATCTAGACCTTCAAGGCCACCACGACATCTCTTTGTCCCCCGTGCTTGTAGTACCCTGAACAAAACAAATCCTTTGTCACAATTTTGGAGGCGAAAGGGGGGATCAATAAACTTCAAAACGTCCCCCCTTTCGATCTCCTGCAAGGAAATAATTGATTTTTCTCGATAAAAGTGCCGCTTCCGGTCGGGGAAGCTTCTGTGTTTTGATGGAGAATATTTTCTTAGCCTCGTTTCAGATGTGGTAATGTTCTATATTTAGAAATCGTAAATTTACGTAGGAGGGAGATGTTAAATTTTTCTGTATAATGTTGAATTTATCAGCATATTATTGTATATAATACCTTAATTCGATTTTAAAATTCTTTATATAACATTGCAATATTAAAAATGCATATTAAGTGTATGAAGTCAAGACTATAATTAACTTACGGAAAGAACTCGGAGACTTCCACAAAAGGGAATTCTTGTATTCTATTTTTCGCGCCACCTCTTTTAAACGGAAACGAGGCAGTTGTTGTTGACAACATTGGACGCTTCCTATGTCAAAGGTCACAGTGTTTGATATACACACATTTAAAGGAGTGTAACAATAATTGAAGATCGATAATCTCTTACTTTAGTAGTGTGCACTCAATTTATACCACAGGAGATATAATGAATTGGTGTAATTATGTAAGTACTTTAATTAAGTTATATAGATCACCCCCTGTTTTTAAAAATCCAATGATTTTAACTTCACATTTGGGTTTATTTAATGTTAAAATTATTTTATTTAAAAAATAGTTTCAAATATTAAATCATTCCAAAAGGCCTGTGCCAACACGATTACCTACCCTATTTTCAACGTATTTAACATAATATAATGCTTAGGCTTAGGACTTGATTATCGATTAAATATAAATTCTTATTTTTTAATTGTAATAATAAAATGGGGTGGGGGAGGGTAAAGTATTTTGAAGTTTTAAAATTGATGATAAGTAGCCCATCTATAAACAAATTATAATTTTAAAAGTTTTATTTTTATCGATCAAGACATTTAGAAAATATAAAAACGAGTGAGTTTCAGATGAGGCAAATTATATAAATTATAAAGAAATCGATTTATAGGCTTATCGGCAGGATATTTGTTTTGATATAAGTTATTATAAGTTGATCATGCATAAGATCAACTATAAACTTGTAAATCCATGAACGTTTTCATTGAAGCCGTTTATATTCAAGGCAACTCTTGACAATTTGCAGCAGATGATATATACCCCCCCCCCCCACACTTTTTTTTCCTTACACATTTATTGGTCGGGGCCGTGCGAAAAAAAAAAGGGGGGGGGGGCGAGAGGGCCAACCACCCAAGGCGACAAAATCAAGGGGCGCCAAAATCGTCTTTCAAGGTTGCCCTTGGCGCCGCTTTTCATCGGAACGGCTCTGTCTAAGGCCTACTGCCTACTGTTCAAGTAATGTTATGAAAAGCATTTATGGCCCAGGTTGGCCCATACGTTGTGAAAAATTTCTATCAGATAATTTTTTTCCGCGGGGGGGGGGGGGGGGGGGG